ATTTATCTTATTATATTTAAAGAATAGATAATAATTTTTAATTAAGGGAAAAAAAAAATATATATATTTTATATGTTAAATTAGATGTGAATATATAATAATTAAAAAAAAATAATATTATTATTATTAATTTTTTTATTATTTTTAATATTATATTATTATTATTATTATTATTATTAAGATTTTATTTTTATTATTATTAATATTATTTTATTTTTTATTCTTATAATTATTATTATTTTATATATTTTTTATTAATATTTAAATTTTTTTTTTTATATTTATATACTTTAATAATTTTATTTTATATTTATTATTAAGTTTATTTTTTTTTTATATTTTTTTATATTTTATGATATCATATCTTAATTTTTTTTTTTATATTATATTATTTATAATTAATTTTTTATATAAAATAATTTAATTTTTATTTTATTATTATTATTAATAAAATTATTAGATGTATTATTTCTTTTTTATTTTTACTGTTGAATATTTTATTAAAAAATAATTTTTAAGATTTTATTTTTTAAATTACGTACTTTTGCCACTTTTTTTATTTTCTTTTTTAAAATCAATTGCATATTAATAAAAAATATTTTAATATTAAATTTCTTATTATTTAATAATATAAGATAATTTTAATTAAATAAATATATAAAAAAATTACATGAAATTAAATTTTTATAAAAATAAAAATAATAATTAAAGACATCAATATAATATTTATTTACATAGATTTTATTACAATAAAAATAAATAATATACATATTATTTTCAATATTTTTTAATTTTTTTTTCTCAAAAAAGATAATATATTCAGATTTTTCTTTAGCATTTTTATTGTATAAAGAAAACTTTTTTTTATTATATAGAATAATGGACATTAACTTAAATATAACATTCAAATTTTAAAATAAGTATAAATATAATACAATATGCAAATTAGGAAATTTTATATTAATTTCTTTTTTAACAAAATTTATAAATAATTTATTGAAATTGAACAATTTTTAAATATATATTACTATTTATAAAGAAAAAATTCAATAAATAATTTTATACAAACATTTACCTTAAGTTTGATGTGTATTATATAATATAAAATTTATATTGTGAAAAAAATATGTGTGTTTTAACTGCAAATATAAATTGAAAATTAAAAATAATGAAATATTATCTTTATATTGAAAAAAATGGTTGACGTTTATATATGAGTTGCAAAAAATATTAATATGACTTTATTTAGGTATGTAAATAAAATTATAATGAATATGATCAAAATATATGTTTTTTTTTTATTACTAAAGTAATAATTATTTATATTTTTTATAATATTTTGGTTATTTTTAATTAAGATAATATCATATACAATGTATTCTTATTGATTAAGGCAAATTGAGAAAAATGTCTTTGATATAAATATAATTTGTTTGTAAAAAAATAACATCATAAATTTAAATTATAAAAATAATTTCTAAAAAAAAAGGCAAATGCCAAATTAATAAAAATAATTTAAAATAATTAAGAATAATAATAAATTTAAAAGTAGAAAAAACTCTAGAAATTAAATAAATTCTAATTTTATTTAAAAATTGTTTAAAATTATAATATATAATTAAGCTCTTATATTTCTTAATTTTTTATTGTTATTAAATTCATTAAAATATTAAAAAAAGTTAATTTTTTTTTAAAAACAAAGGCACTACGAGTATTTTTATTTTGTGTTAAATTTTTTATCAAAAAGATATAAATAAGGTTATTTCAAAAAATAGGGGATGAAATTGACTAAACTAATAATATTTATGGTATTCTTCTATTTTTCCTTTTTAATCGGTTTTTTAAAACTATTTATAATAATTTTTTTATAGTTATTTTTTAATTTATTATTTTACTCTTCAAAAAAATATTAAAATTTATATATCATCGGCAAAAAAGTTATGTAATGCTTACAAAAAAGATATAACAAATAAATCACTTTTTAGTGTTTATAAATGATATTTTTTTATCGTATTTTTGTATAACTTTTGTATTAGAATTATCTATTAATAATATTTTTAGGTTTTGTTTTATTCAATTTTCCTTTATCTCTTCAGGTTATTATATTTTAAAATTGCTTATATAATACCTGGCTTTAAAATATTATTAATTTTTATATTTATTTATTTGTTTAAAAATTATTAAAATATTAGAATTTTGTACATTTATATAGTAAAAATATATTTTCTTATATTAAAATTAAATATTTTATTGTTTTTAAGTTAAAATTTCTAATTTTATATTAATATTATTAATTTTTTAATAAAAACAAAAGTATTTCAATTCAAATTAATAAAGACAGTTAAATATTAAAAAATATAACTTTAAATAATAAAAATTATTATGTTGAAACATAAAATCATAATTTTAATAAGCAAGAAAAAATAATTGTAATTTAAATAAACAACTATTGTTTTAAAATTAATTATAGTAATAATAAAATATTTTATATTAAATATATTATTAATTAGTTGTCTTTTTTTAATTTCAAAAGAATTAATTAATTATAATACCACTAAAAATATTTATTTTTTTAATACTTTTTAACTGACTAATTGATTTGTAAATAATATTAATTTTTTTTTAATTATTATTATATAATTATATTGAATATTATTTTTAGTAAATCTATTAAAAATAATCATTTGATTTTTAAATAAATATATTTATTTTTTTATTAATTTACAATAAACATTCTTTTGAATTATTGGTAAAAAAATATATGAAATTTTCAACTATTTATATAAATCTTAAAAAATAAAATATAAAAATATTTACATTAAGTTTTTTAATTAAAATATAAATATTAAATAAATTAAAATTATTAAAAATAAAATAAAGATTTAAAATGAATAGCGAGAGCGATTTAAGCCAAAACTTATGTCTTAATTCAAATAATTTAAATAACTTATAATAAAAAAGTAAGGAAGATTAATTAAATAATAACTAAAAACAATAATTTGGAATCAAGATAGGATGTGCATTTAAAAGCATAAGTAATAGGAAAAAAAGTGAAGATTTTTAAATCAATGATAAAACTCAAAAAAATTTATTTTTAAATGAACTTGAAAATAACTAATTTTAATAACAAAACATTTTACAAAATTTTTAAGACGAAAAAAAAGAAAATACAGAATGTTATGAATTAAATCCAGGTATTTTTTTTTATATATTTAATAATAATTTGGTATAAATAAAAAAAACAGATAAATTTCCTTTATACAATAAAAAAGTTAATTATTATTAAGAGTTTTGGAAGATGTATTATAAGAATGAAGTTATGATTAAAAAGTTAAAAGAATATTAAGATGAACTTTTACAAATAAAAGAAAAAGCAGATAATTTAGAAGTAATTTTTTTGTTTATCTAAAATAATGATATTTAGTTAAAAAAGCAAATCAAATATTTCAGAATAATAAACTAAATGAATAAAATTATAAAAACTAAATTTCAATTTTAAAATTAAATAAAAAATATAAAATAAAAAGATATAAATACAAATTTTAATAAAACTTAAAAATTCATTTTATCTTTATTTATATTTTAAATTTAATTCTATATTTAATTTTACATTTTCTAATATAATTTATATATATAATATACTATTAAAAGGAAGCTTTAATCTAAAATGATGAAGACGAAATATCAGAAGATTAATATCAAGAATAATAAGAATAATAGTAATAATAATAATAACAATAAGAGCAATTTTAGTAATAAAGTTAATAATTTTAGTAAAACGATTCATAATTAAATAGTAATTCATAAAAGAATAAGAAAAAAGTACGAAGATGTGCTTCGGATATTTAAAAAGATTTTTAAGTTAAAATAAAAACTATTATATATATTTTAATTTATTATAATATAATCTGCTAAAAATTATATTTTCATATATAAATTAGTGTCCTTATGATAATTGTAATAAAAAATATGGAAGTGATATTTCCTTAAATTTACATATTAAGCTTAAACACAATGGAGGGAATAAAACTGATAGAGATAAGTTAGCTGTAATTATTAATATTTATATAAAAGTATTTTTAAAAACTTAAATTAGAAATAAATTTTTCTAGCAACTAATAAAGGAGAATAAATTCCTGAAGTAAATATAAATTTACCTCCTGGGTTTTTTAATGTAATATTGTTTAAATTTTATATCTAATTTATTAATACTAAATTGTAAAAAGCAAATTAAAAATCTTAGTTTTGTTAATAATATAATGAAAATTCCTCAAAATAGCAATAAAAAGTCTGTCGAAAAATTTTGATATTATCAATAAAGATTTTAAAAAAATAATTAAAAAAGGTTAGGTAAAATAAATTGCTTTATAAAAATAAATTTATAATTTAATAAAAATATTATTTAATTGTTTCATTTTAATAAAACACTTTTTATTTTAAAAATTTTAAAAAAGTATTAAAATCAAGAATGTTAATAAATAATACTATTATATTTCAAATTTATAAAATAAATATTATAATTAAGTTAATTTAAATTAATATATAAACCAAATATTTTATTCAATATTGTAATTATTAAAATAAGAGATTATTTATAAGTAAAATAATTATAAATATTTAGTTAAAATTCTTAATGAGCAAAAAGAATGTGTTTTATTTTTTGTTAAAGATTGCTTATTTTTATCATTATATATTTTTATTAAAATAACTAAATAACTAACAGTTATTAATATTATAAATTAATTCATTTAATATACACTATATTTTATTAATAAAGTAGATTTTAAAAGATTTAAAGAAACAATTTTATGTATTAATAAAAAAATAATGAGATTTATTTGATATAAAAAAGTATGTTTACACATTTTATACATTTAAATTGTTTATTTATATTTAAAATAAATAAAAAGATATGTATTTATTTCTATTTTTAAATTTTAAAACATTACCAATAATAAAAAAATAATTAATAATTTTTTTAAACAAAAAACAAAAAAAACATGAAAACAATATTAATATTATTAGTTTTATATATAGCAAAATCTTTATAATAAGAAACATCTAAAAATAGATGTTTCGAACATTTAAAATTATCATCTACAGAAATAAATATAATTAACTAAATAAAAGATTAAATTACTAAAAATTATAAATTTTCTACTGATTGTTTAGAAATATTAGTATAAAGAGGTTTTTACAAATCAGCATTAGTACTTTTTGAAGATTATTTTTTAACAAATAAAATTGATTTACATGAAAATATGCATAAGGTTATCACTTCCTAAAAAAAGAATTTGGACAAATTTGTTACCTTACTTTGGAGTTCACGTTCTTAAGTATAATAAATTGAACCAATAATGAAATGGGCTCAAAACGAAAACTTTATTTTTATACATTTAAAACTAAGTATGAGACCTGATTCTCCTTCATGTGTACATTGTAAAGTCGAAAAATCAGAATTTACTAATTCAACTTTGTATATGAGCTCTTTTGGTATATTTTCTCATTAACCATTGAGATTTATTTTGAATTTAGATCTTTATGGCGAAATTAATCCTCAATTATCTTCTATATAGGAAGATTCTGTAGGAACTTTAGTCATAAGTTTAGCCAAAGTTCACAATTTTTAAGAAAAAGATGACGAATATACTGAAAAAACAATCGAATAAGTTGAAAACAAAGAAGAAGTTAAAAATGAAGATGAAGAAGAAGATGAATAATAAAAAAAAGAAAAAGAAAAAGCAAGAATTTTTAAATAAAAATAAAAAAAAATTTGGTTACGATTAGAGAAAATAGAAAGAAAAAAAGATATTCCTATTTGGTGGTCTATGAGAGATTAGCATAAAATAGATATGGATGTGTGGGATAAAATGATTGAAAATGACAGGGAAGAAAAGAAAAAAAAAAAGAAAAAAAATGAAAAAGAAAAACTTGATAGCGAGCATTTAGATAATTAAGGTGATGGCGAAGCACAATAGCAATAAAATGATATTTAAGAATAAGATAATGTTTAGGAAGCTAATTAAGTTAATGATAATATTCGAAAAGAATAGAATAATAATGAATAGTAATTATTAGGTAATTAAGAAAATAAAGAAGAATTATGAAAAATAATTTTTTTGATTTATTATAACAATTTAAATGATATGCATAGTGCACAATTTTTTTTTATAAATTAATTAAATATTTTTATATTATAAATATAAATTTATTATTATATATTTTTTTATATTTTTAAAATAAAAAAATATTTAATAAAAATATAAATAAATATCAAATTAAATGATTTAATATTAAAAGAATACTGATAGCTTTTCAGATTAAAATCCCGAAGGATTAATATATAATAATATAGATAAAAGCTCAAATAATATAGGGATCTATAATGCATTAAATAAATCATTATTGTTTCGTTAAGAAAGGCTTTCATAATAAAAAAATAATTCGACTCCATTATATATACGATTAGATAAATTATAATATAGTAATTGGCATAAATAAATAGTAATTTGTTTATCTCTATTATAATTATTAAATGGATATGAATTTTTTTGTATACTTTTGAATTAACAATATATAAAAGAATACTATGAAACTGAATATATTAATTTGTTAATTTATGTATATATAATAGGTTTGATATTAGGTTCATTAATTTTTTCGGGTTTAAGTTGTTAAAATATAGGAAGAAAATAACTTCTTTTGTTTTCTTTAAAACTTTATATTTTATCTTTTGTGCTTTTTTTATTTTCATAAAATGGGTTAACATTTATTATAAGCAAATTATTTTGTTCTATTTCACTTAGTGCCTAATTTATTATTATAACAACATTTTTTAATGAAATTATCCCTTTGGATTAAAGAAGTATTGTTAGTATTATTGTGAAGTCTTTTCTTTATATCGGATTTTTTTTAGCTTTGATTGTTTTTTTTTTGTTTTCATAGTTTGTTTCAATAAATTAAGTTTGGAATTATTAAATATTTTTTGGTATTTTACTTATTTAACCTACTTGTTTTGTTTTCAAATATTTTCCAGAAAGTCCTAGATGGATTTTATCTTAAAATAAACTTAATGAAGCTAATTTAATGGTTGAATATATTACTTACTGTAGTTAAAATGATTGTTTTATTTCATTAGATGAATTGTTTTTTATTTTATTAATTTTTTATTTTTTTATTTATATTTTTAAAAAGTAAAATTATTAAAGAAAAACCTTATCAAGGTTTACAAATTTAAATTCCAATTAAGGTTATTTATTATTTAAATTTATTTATATATTTTTAATTAGCATTTTTAAAAAAGTCTGAATATTAGTAAATTATAAGTATAAACTTGATAAATATTTTAAAAATGCTGATTTAAAATTATAAATAAAATAGTCTTGTTTGTTTATATTTAATTTTCTCATCAAGCTTTGTTTCTTTAGGGTAAGAAAAAAAATTTTAAATATTAAAATGTAATTATGATTTTATTTTAAATAAAAAGAATAATATTTAATAAGGCGTTTGAATATTTATCTAAATAATAAGATTTGTGTAATGATAAAATATATTATATTATTAGCTTTTCAAATAAAAAAATTAGAAGAAAATACTAATTCTTTATGGATTTTATGTTTAGGATGTTTAATAGGAAATATATTTAATTTATATCTTTTAAAAAATAAAAAAATTAGATAAAAAATGATTTAGTTTTCATGTATTTTAAAATAAACTTTTTATATTATAAACATATTTTATTAATATTTTTATTTATAAAAATAAAGTTTTTTGCGCTTTTTTTATACTAATAATAAACTCTGGTTTTATATTTATTTAATCAGAAAATAGCTTTTTAAACTTAAGTCTTTAATTTGCTGTATTCTTTATTACTATTCCTACTTTTGTCCATTCTATACAATTTATTTCTGATATATATGCAACAGTTAATAAATAATATATTTTATTATTAAAAAGTTTAAAATATTTTAAAAGAACATAAGATTATAATCCATTGGAATTTTTTATTCATTTGCAATATTTATAGGAGGGTTAATTTCACCTTTAATCACTTTTCTCTTTAATTAATATAATTTGGTAAGTCTTTTATATATGATATATTCATTTTTAATGTTAGCAGCTTCATATATATAATTTAAATACGGAACTGATACAATAGATTAATCTTTAGATGAAATCTGAAAATAAATATTTATATAATTTTAAAATAATTAAAAAAAAAAACATTTAAGAAAATTAATTAAAAAAAATACAATATAATATATAAATAAATATTTATCATAATTTCTTTTAATTATTAATTTGTATTTCGTTGATAAATTTAGGGTTTTTTTCATATTAAAAAACTCCTTGTTGCTTACCTTGTTCATCTTCATCTATAAAATAATAATAAAAAAAATTACATACAAAATATATTTATAAATAAAACTGTTTATAGAGGACAATGATTAATAATTATCTTTTTTGTTAGATATCTCTTCATCACTAACAAAATTAGAATTAGGAAATTTTTTATTAAAGAATTTGCTTTTTTTTTGCTTTTCCACACTATTAAATTACTTTTCACTTAATTCTGTTATTTTTGATTATGCTAGAGTATTCAAATCAACTTTAAAAATAATAAAATAAAAATAATTATATAAAAATAAACTTAAATTTTTATTTTAAGATGAATTTTAGTAAAAGAATAAATTATCAATAGTTAAAGCCCTAGCTTTTAATTAAAAGTCATTTTTTTATTTTTCAGTATTAATAAGACATCTTAGATTTTAATGTAATAATTACTATTAAGAAATGGTATCAATATTTTCTTTAAAATTATTTTTGTTCATTTTTTAAAGAGCATTTTAATATTTTCTTGTAATTATAGCCTCATCAAAATGATTTTATCCTATCTGGGAAGGCTTAAAAAATAGTGCATTAAATAAATAGAATAGGCTTTAAAATATTGATTTTATTATTCCATATATAATTACTGATTTTTCAAATAATGAGGATTCATTAAAATTTGTAATTATTATATATATAATATATAAAATCATTAATGGAAACGATTCAAATATTAATTATAATTGTGAGTATATTATTTTGTAATTTACATATATTTTCTTTTCTAGTATTTTTAATACTAAAAAGTCTGTTGGGGAAAATTTATTTACAAAGTTCTCACAAATAAAAAGACCTTAAGTTATTAAAAATTTCCATATTAATTATAAAAATGTTGCTATTTCTTCCTTCTTATTTATATGATATAAATTATAGAATCCTTTTAAAAAGTTAAATATTTTCTTTGAAAATTTCATCAAACATATTAAAAATGTGAATATCCCTTGAACATATAAACACTTATTGAAATAAAATAGAGATAGGCAAGAATCGACAAAACCATCCAATCTTTCTATAAATGACATTATTGTCATAAATAATTCCCTTTTATTAACAGGGCTTTTCCAATAATTACTATATAAAATATCACCTTAAAATAATAAAACACTGTTTCTCCTTTCTAGGCCTTTTTTTATATTTTTTAAATTTTTTTTTTTAATTTTTTATTTTATTTAATTTTTCCTTTAACTTTTATATTTTTTTACAAACAAAAACTAATTCAAAAATGCATAATAAAAAGTTTATTACTAAAACAGAATAAAATACTACATCAAATTAAAGCTCAGATTAATGTTCTGAAATAAAAATATAATAAAAAGGTATATGGGTTTAAAAATTTTAAACAAAATGAATGATTAAAAAGTAAATATATACATAAGAAAATGTTCCTTTTTCTGCATTTTTATTAAAGGTACAATTCATTTAATATTTAGAAGAAATTATATTATTTTAGCTTAATATTTTTGTAAATATATTTTAAAATATGCTTTTAATTTGAAAATTATCACTTGATTTCCTTGAAAAATATTGTATAATTCCTTCATCTACAATATTAATTTATTCATATGAATTATTATCAGTATTTATTATTTATAGACTTTTTAATGTTTAATTATCACATCTAATATCAAATAAGTGCATAAAAAGGAAAATTTTGCCAATTGATGATATATATGGATTTTCAGAGAGATCAATTTCTTATAAAAATTTAAAATTATAAAGTTTTTTTGCAAAACTAATACAAAAATCATCATCCAAATAAGATTTTATAATTGAAATTTTCCTTAAATATCTTGGCACAAGATTTTGAAGGAATGAATATTTTTCAAATACATTTACATATGATTATATTATGTAATTAGCTAATATATTATCTACTTAATTCCATTCATTTATTATAAATATTTAGTGATTGTTTTCATAAACCTTTTTTAATTATTGATTCCCGATTTTTGATATATTATTCTTATTTAAAAATAAAAATTATAAATTGTTTAATATATCTTTCTGAGCTAAGCATTATTATAATTAAAAACATAATTCGTCTCCTCCTTAATTTTCACTTATATCTAAACAGGTTAATGATTTATTTTCTTTTAATCCTTGATTATTTTAAAATATATAGTTTTTTTTAAAAAAATAATAATAATTGTGTTATTAAAATAAATAAAAGATAATATGATAAAAAAATAATTAATAAAATACCTTAACATATTTCCTAATAAGCATCAATTTTAATTTCGCAATTTTTGATATTTAATTCTTTAATATATTTACTTTAAACCAATAATTGTTTAATATATATAGCACACTATTTATCTATTTTATTATTTGGTATATTAAAAGACTTTATTAAAGTTTATTTAGTTGTTAATTCATCGACAATAATTTTCAGATGGAAAGAAGTTAACCCACAATTAGATAAATCTAAATGTCTTAAAGAATGACTTTAAAAAATAATTTGAATAAATTATTAAAAAGCCTATAATTAAATATAAAATCTTGTTTTATTTTAAAATCTTATATTTATTTCTTATTGTTATTCTGTAATATCTTTATTAATTTCACTTCTTTTTTATAAAGTATTTGAAAAATCACTATCATTTACCATTTTTTGCATTTATAAAATTAGAAATTTTGTTTTTTAAGATTATTTAACCATTTAAGCCAAACAAAGAAGCTGTTCTTAGTCTAAAAAATTATTTGAAAAATCTAAAAGTTTAATTCTTTAATTTTATTAAAGACAGATAAACAAATTTTAAAAGCAATTCTAAGGGATTTTAATATTTTGCATTATATAATTATTTACACTTTAATTATTTCCTATTCCTTATATAATAAACTCGAATTGATTCTATTTAAACTAATTATTAGAAATGTCCAAAAGCTTTAAATTTTAAGAGCTTTATAAAAAAACCATTAAATTTTGACAAAACTTATCAGTAATAAGTAAATTTTTCAATTTGAGGATTTAAATAGTGCTTATTTTTCCAATAATAGCAAGCAATTCAGGCAGAAGTTCTTACAATGTTAACAAACTATCAATATCAAGTACTTTTAAATTGTTAGACTTTTATAAGTTTTCAAGTGCAGAGTAAAAGTTAAGAATTGATTATTAACTAAAAAGACAGTTTTTTATTATTAATTATTATAAATATTATTTATTATGTGAAATAGATGAATGAAAATTTTATTTTCTAAAAAATTAAAATGAATATTTTATACATTCAAATCCTTCGCTTTATTATTTGTAAAATTCCGAATTTACAATGTTGAAATGTTTATTATTTTACATATTAACTTCCTGTATTATTTCATTTTCATTTAAAGAATAACCTAGAACACGAAGATCGTCAGATTTTAAACATAAATTATCTAAATTTAAGAAACGAATTTTTAATTTCAATAATTCATTTGCATTATCATAGAATTGCTTTTTTAGTAGTTTTTTCTTATTTTTTGAAATGTCTTTTTCTTCGTTTTTCTTTTTTAAGTACAATTACCATTAATCCTCAAATTTTAAACATAATAAATTTTCTAAAGAAATAAAATTGTTAGATAAGCTTAAAGTCTTCAGGTTCTTACTACTTATTAACATCTATTGTAAATATTTTGAATGCTTTTAGGTTATACCATTTTAACTTAAATCCAGAGTTTCTAAATTTGAACATTCACCTAAATTAATGAGAATTTAAGCTAATTTTTCATCATCGATTGCAAGTTTATTTTTAGATAAATTTATATTTTATAATGAAAAGTTTTATTTTAAAACTGAAACAAAACTTTCAATAGATTTTAAACTTAATTTTCCTTTTTTTATATAATTTTTTGTAAATTATAAAAAAAAAAATACCAATTTTTAATTCCCTTAAATTCAATTGCCTTAAATAATCATTTCTTTTTACAAAATTTCCCAAATTAACTAAATCTTAATCATGAAAAGGAGAACATCCTTTTAAGTTCAATATTTCTAATTTATTAAATCTTGCTTATAAAGAATAAACAACTGCACAGGAAATAAGCTAATTTCCTGAAAAATCTAATTCTTATAAAAACTCACTATTAATTGTAAATTTAGATTCATGCTATCCTTCACCTTTTATATCATTTACTAAATTACAAAATTTGATTACTCTTAATTTGCAATTATTCATTAATTTTAAAAGAACAAAAACTATACTATAATGAATTGCATTTCCTATTATTAATAATATATTTATTGATTAAAATAAATTAATAAAAAAAGAATTGAAAATAACTTTATACCTGTAATATCTAAATATTATATTGATAATGCATCATGATTAACTATCATACATATAATACTTTCACCATCTAAATTATTATATGCTATTGATAGTTTTTATAATGTTTTATTATCTCTTAATGCATGAATAATTACATTGAAACCTTCTGATTTAATAAAGTTGACATCTAGATTTAATGATATCCATTTTGGATTTGTTTTTAAATATTAGGCTATTGTATTTGCCCCTTTAAAACCTATTTTATTATTACTTAAATCTAATTAAGTTAAGTTTTCGAACATATTTATTGTTGGAATCATTTTTATAAAATTTCCTTAAAGAATTAATGTTTCTTTATTTTTTATTTTTAAATATTGTATATAAAAAAAAATAACCTAAGCTTTTGTTTATTTGAGGATTATAAAAATCATCTATTCTATTAAGATTATTATATGATAAATTAACACTTTTACATTTATTAAATATCCTTAAAAGCTGCCCTATTAATTTTGTATTATTCATTTTGTTTCCTGCAAAGTTAATACTTTTTATATTAGAAACTCCCCAAAAGAAACTTCCAAAAGCTTAAATGAAAACTTTTAAACCGCTTTCTTTTATTTAATTATATGAAATGTTAATTTCTTGTAAGCTTTTATTATTTTTAAGTCCATTAGCTAAACACATTAAAGAAAAAGCTTCAAATTTCATAAAAGACATATTTAAATGGGTAAGATATTAAGCATTTTATAATGCTGCTAAAACAAAGGCCTATTACATTATTTAAATATTGCAATGAGCTAAATTGAGAATTTTAAGACAATTTTTTTATTACTTTGAATAATCCAAAAATTAAATTAAATCTTCAATTACTTCTTAATTTATATTATAATTATTTGAAATATTTAATTCTTAAATTGTTTTATTATTTATTAGTCTTTTAAGTATATAGCTTAATAAAAAGCTACTTAAATTACAACCTGATAAGTCTAATATTTTAATACTATTATTATATGTTAATGCTTATCCTATTTCCATTAATAAATATGGATGAATATCTGACCCAGCTAATGATAGCTTTTCTAAATGCTTTGAACGCTTTAACCCTTATGCAAATGCACAAAAGCATTCTAAGTTTTATTCATTTTCTAATACCTCTTCATAACGAGCATTTGTAATTTTTTTTTTAAAGTTTCACGAAAATTTTCTTTTTTATTTTTTATTTATTTATTCGTTATTGATTTTATATTACCTCGCCAATATTTTAAGCATTAAGATGCTTGAAATCTATTTAAAATATAACTATTATGATTTTATGATGATTAGTTTTTGAAATTATATTTCTTAAGCTTTTTTCTTAGATTTTCTTATTTAAATCAACTGAATTCTCTGCTAATGAGGAATCGTCACTATTGTCACTTTGTTAATCATTATTTGGTATTAATTATTTCATATATTTCATTTTTATAAATTCTTATTTTATTTTATCTAATATTATTTTTATAAACTCAATAAATATATTATTATTTATTTATCTTTAAATAGAAAAAAGTATATTTAATTTAATAACAATTATTGAAAAAAAGTTTAAATTTTATTAGCTTAAAAATTTAAAATTAAAAAAATAATTTTACTAATTAATCTATGTATTTAATTTTTATTATTTTACAAAATTTGATTTTTTTTTAAATAAAAATAACAATAAAATAAACATAATAAAAAAATTAAATTAAATTAATTTATTTTTTATTTTTATTATTATTATTTTTTATAATTTATTAAATAAAATTATTATTAAAAAAATAAATAAAAAAATTTAATTATATTAATTACAAAATGAGATTAAAAAATAAAATTAAGAAACATAACTTTTATTTGATTTTAAAATTTTTTATGTTGTAAACCAAGAAAATTAATATATAAAATAAAAATTAAAATTTAATTTAATTTAATTTAATTTAATTTAATTTAATTTAATTAAAATAATAAAATAAAATAATTAAAATAAAATACATCAAATAAAATAAAAAATTATATGTTTTAATCAAACTAAAGTAATTTCAATTCTAAAGTATAAAATAATACATCATATTTAGATAACTACTTATATTAATCGAAAATAAACATAATTTCTTAAGAGAATTAGTAATCATATGATTATCCAAGTAATATATACCAAAGCTAAAATTATACATAAGTTTAATCTACCTAAAATAAAAATATTTAAGAACACTATAGTTCTAAAACGAATATTTAATAAGATCCTTTAAGTATTACCAATAATACAATAAATCCTTTATTTGCTGTTTTTTAATATTAAGAATAAAAAATAAAAAATGATTTAAAATTATCTGACAAAAAAATTATATTTTAACTATTAAATATAATAATAGCATTTATATATGGATTAGCATGCTTACTTTTTTACCCAGATTTATATAATATAAGTCACAAAGCTTATTATTTAGTACTTTATTACATGGCGAACTATATAATAAATTTTTTTATAGCTTTTATATGTGTATTATTATTTTTTGCTTTTTCGAAAGTTTATTAATTAATGAAAGTTAAAATCGAAGATTATAAAAGTGGAAAAAATAATAATAATCAGGAAAAAATTAATGAAGAGAACAATTATTCTTTTTAAGAAAGTTAGTTTAGTATTCATTAATTTAAATATAATGATGAAAAAAATACTAGTTTTTATTAGAGTTCTTTAGGTTTTTTTCCTTTATTTTTTTACTCTCTTGTCTATCTTTCCTATTTTATTTATCTATTTTTAAGTCCTGGAATAATATTATTTAAATTTAACTAAATTCATGCTTTTGTTAGCCTTTATTTAATTTATTTGTATTTTTTTGCTTGTATTTATATTATTATAGGAATTTTTCATGTTTTTAAGAAAAATTCTGTTTCTAATCATATTTAAGAAATTGAAGAATAATAGTTTTTCTAACCTAATTTTTGGGAATTATAATAAATTAAATCGAAATTTATAGAGATCAAAAAACAGCCTATATAAAATTTAGACTGATATTTTAAAGATTTAAATATATTTTTAGAATTCAATGTATATGAAAATAAATAAGTTTTATATTCGACAATAAGTACGTTAAATTTTTATTTATATAAATATCTATGTATTTTCTGATAATAAAAAAATTATTAAATTATATTTAGATTTACTTAAATTAGAAAAATATATTTTTTATTTTTTAAAAAATAACAATAATTAAATAATAAATATAAAAAAAATTAACTTAAAAATGAATGAAGAATACTAGAAATATTTGATATGTGTAGATCCTTCAACAGAATAATTTTATACTGTAAATACAATAAACAACATAATAAGAATAGAGGAAGATGCGGATGATATAATGAAAAATAATGCCGAAGATGCTATTAAAGATTTACGCTATATAATCGATACAAGTAACTGTGCATGGTTATTTTAATCATAACAAGCAAAAAGATATTAAAAAAGGCCAATTCCAAGTTATTTATTAAATAAAGACTCTTGTAAATATCCTACATATTTATGTTAGTCGAACTTATCATTAGCATTTGCAAATGTTAATTGTATAAAATTAATAGTTATACTTGATCAATATTAGCATTTATTTAAAGATGTTACAGTTTAATAAGCTGATGGCACCAAATGGAATGGAAAATAAATAGAAATTGAAGCAGGATTAGTTACAGGGTTTATATATGTTTATATTATTTACTTACATATTTTAAAAACATAGGGCAGATGAAGTAATAAAAAACATTTTAAGAGAAATATATAAAAAATCATAAATAAAACTTAAACCATTAAATGAAGATAATTAGTTTATATTATAAATAAAAGGCTTTCGTGAATATTTAACCGGAAACCATCCTATGCTTAGTTATGATAGAGTTCGAATAAATTTAAGAGGACACGAACATTTAGATGTAAAATTAACAGAAATTCCAATAAATAGTTAATAATCAAATTAATTTCCACCAATAATTAGTAAAAATTAAATTAAATTAAAGTATATTTAAAAAAAAATAAAAAATTAAATTTTTATATAAAAAAATGCTTATTTTAAAGCAAGAAAAACCTCTGATATTGAAAAAAATATTTATACTCCAATTAACTGGACAGATTTATATAATGTGCCTATTCTTCTGTGGTATCCATAGGTGGATTTACCTCCAAAAGGTACTCCTAATCCTAATTAAGTATTAGAAGAATCAATAAAAAAATTAAAAAAAGAGAAAAAAAAAGAAAAAGCTAATGAATAATAGGAATACTCGAATTAATATGAATATATTAAAGATATCCCTTGTAAGGAAGATGTTCCAATGAAAGATTTTGCTTCAATAAGATAAAATTTTGGAAAAATAAGCAGTAAATATTTATCTTCAGGTGAATGCGATTGTTTATTTAGAATTAGAGTTTGTGGTATTTAAAATTTGTTTAAAATTTTGGAATAAATAAATCCTGATTTAAAAGAACATGAAAGAGCGACATACAATGGAATTATTTAACCCACATATATAACAAAGACTAATTAGGATGAAGTTTTAAAACACAAAAAAAAGAAATAAGAAGAATGGAAAGAATGGACAGGTGTTAATCAAAAACAATCTAATTTAAAATTTGCAAAAACAAAAGTAATTATATTCAAACAATTAAAATTTATATAATTATTGAATATATTTTAATTTTCTTTAGAGAGAAAAATAAGTTGATACTCATACTTTCGTTACAAATCATGGTATTGATGGTGTTTCTTTCATGGCTGGTTTAGAGAAAAAATTTGGATTAAATTTTACTCCTTATTTAATTTCTTTAAAAGTAATGTTATATCACGGATCCATTTGTTTAAAATCATAAGAAACAAAAAAAGTACCTTTTTCAAGATTTTGTAGCTTTAACGAATGGATAACTTTCGATAATTTAAAAATATCATAACTACCTTTAGAAGCTAGGATTCGAATTAATATAATACTACATCCTGATGATCAAACAGATCCTTAAATTATTGGTTCTAGTGTTTTATGGGTTTTTAATGAAGATGGAATTTTTGCTCAAGGATTAAATGCACTTAATGTTTGGCCGTAATTATATCAATATATCAATATATTAATATATCAATATATGCAGATTTTATCGGGTATAAGATAGGCTCTCGTGTATGAATTAATATTGGGGTGTTCCAAATATCCCAAAAGAAATGCGTCCAAAGGCATATCCTGATTAAAAAGAAGAAGAAATAGTGGAGCAATTTGTAGTAAATAATTTTGCAAGATTATTTATTTAATTAGAGAAATTTATAGACATACTCTATTACTCTTTAAGGGATGAAAAAAATATGGAATCAGTTGGTTTTCCGAAATTATCAAAAAAGATGAAAGGTGATCGATTTAAAAACTGGAATACAACTCCGAAAACAGATGATTTGGCACATTTATAAGTTCTTTTAAATTTCGATCCTTTAAAAAGATGTGAATATACAGAAGAAGATAAACATATACTTATGATTTGTAGAAATCATTATAAAACCTTAACACATGCATTATAGATCTTTTTATTAGCTATTAATTGGTTAGATCCTGAATAAGTAAATTTTATTATTTATTTATTAGTTAGTTATTTCAAATACATTTTAAAAAGGTTAGAGAAGCTCATAATATGTTAAAACATTGGACTCCTCTTTCCCCTGAAGATGCTCTACCTCTTCTAGATGCTAATTTTGCTAATGAATGTGTCAGATTGTATGCTGTGGAAAGAATTAGTACTTTTTCAGATGATGAATTAGCTCTTTATATGCTTGAGTTAACTTAAACATTGTTGTATGAAAGAAAACATTATTCACCTTTAACAGAAATGTTACTTGAGAGATCACTTTAGAATCCTTTTGTAGTAGGACATGAGTTTTTTTGGTAATTAAAAAGTTAATTGCATGTAAAAGTGTTTTTCGAAAGATATTCTTTATTAATGGAATAATTTTTAATGTTATGTGGTTCTTTTAGAAAAGAATTAATGATATAATGCTAAGTTAACGATAAATTAAAAAAAATTGGCCAAGAATGTTAAGCAATATCAGATAAAGATCAACAAAAAAAAACTGCTAGAGCACGTTTATTGGAAATAAGAAATGATTTGCCTTAAAAATTTACTTTTGCTTTAGATAGTAGAGTTTAAGTTAAAAATTTTAAAGTAGAAAAATGCAAAGTAATTTTTTATATTTTCTTTAATATAAAATTCTTATAAAAAATATTATTTCAACAATAAAAAAAATATTTTTAAAAATAGTGTATGGATTCTAAAAAAGTACCTTTATGGATAGAAACATAAAATATAGAAGAAGGTGATGAGGGAATGTCTATATTATTTAAATGTGGAGATGATATTAGATAAGATTAACTAACATTATAATTATTGAAAGTAATGGATAAAATATGGCTAGATGCAGGACACGATTTTAGAATGAAACCTTATAAAGTAATAACAACAGATGATTAAGTAGGAATGATAGAAATAGTTTTAAAATCAGAAACTACATCGAAAATACATAAAAAGTTTGGAGGGGTTCTTGGGGCATTTAAAGCTAATACTATTTGGTAATATTTAAAAGAAAAAAATACTGATCCTCATTCTTTTGAAACAGCAACTGATAATTTCCTTAGGTCTTGTGCTGGATATTGTGTAGCTACTTATATTTTAGGTATTGGAGATAGACATGCTGATAATATTATGTTAAGTTATACAGGACATCTTTTCCATATTGATTTTGGGCATTTTTTAGGAAACTTTAAGTTTAAGTATGGAATCAAAAGAGAAAGAGCTCCATTTGTTTTTACAAAAGAAATGGCCTTTGTTATGGGTGGAAAAGATGGTACTTTATTCAAGAAATTTGAAGAATATTGTACTTAAGCTTATAACTTGGTTAGAAAATAAGGAAATTTCATTATTAATATTTTCTTACTTATGTTAGAAGCAGGTTTTTAATTTTTACTGATTAATACTTTATATTTTTTTTATCATATAATTAATTATATTTAATATTTTTTTTTTTAAATAAATTTACAATTTTGAAAAATAGGAATGCCTGAACTTTAGTTTCCTCATTAAATCGAATATTTGAAAAATTAATTATCTATTAGTTTAAGTGAATAAGAAGCTACTAATAAATTTAAAAAAGAAATTCACGATTCATTAAATAGTATTTTTAGAAGATTTGATAATTTTATTCATTAGTTAAAAAGAAATTGATTATTTTATATTATTTTATTTTGTATTGATTATTAAATATATATCATATAATTTATAAATAAATTTTATTATATAAATTAAATGTTTTATTTTGTGAATTTTATTATATTTATTCCAAAAATAAAAATATTATAAATAATTAGAATATAGAATTTAAAATTATATATTTTTGCTATGTTATTGGATGCTTATTTAAAGTATTAAATTGTTTACACAAATTAGTTTCAGTTATATATTAAAGCTTTAGATTATAATTTAATTTATTATATTTGAAATTTATTAGGCAATACATATCTAGACATAATTTTTTATTTCTTGCTTAATTTATTATTTTAATACTAAAATTTATAAATATAAATATTATATTCTATAATAAAATTAAAATATTTTTATTAATTTTAATTTTAAATGAATATTTATTTAATTGTCTATATTATTCTTTAAAAAAGATGTTCAATATTTATACAGATTTTAAATTAATAATATACAATAATTTTATAAAATAATTTTTACAAAATCAAAAATCAAAGCCTTCCAATAAAAATACCTACTCTTCTTTTGAATTTAATGTTAAAATTAAAAAGAAAATATTTTGTAAACTATCAATCAAAAATCAATTTTCCTTTTGAATGCATTTTTTTCAAAAAATAAAAAAGTAATTACATACTCATTATAGTTAGTTTAAAGACTGTAATTGTTTTTTTAGCACTTTTATGCATTCAAATCTTTAAATCTTACTTTTTTTTCATTTTTTTTGCAGAATTTATTTGATCTAATACTCCAGAAAAACTACCGTCATTTATTTTTTATTTTTAAAAATTGATTTTGGTCTTTCTTAACTTACTTACGAACTGTTTTCAAAAGAATCGCTATTATTACTTCTATTTTATTTGGCAAAACTTAATAATGAATTATAATTGCTTGTTTTTTTTTATAAAATTTATTATTTTATAAATTGTAATTATTATTATTATTATTGTTATTTTTACTCTTCATTTCTGCGTTTTTAATATTTTTATTAATCTGTTGGTGTCGATTTTTCTTTTTATTAATTATAAGTATTTTTTTATATTTTATTAGTTATTTTTGTCTATTATTCCTATAATTATTAATATTATTATTATTATTCTTAGTTAATAATCGTATTAACTTTTATTTCCTTTTTAGCTTGATCTATTATTATTTATTGGTATTGTTCTTTTTATATGGAGTTTTCTTTTATTTATGGTTATTATTGATTGCTTTCTATTGATATACTTTTTTATTTTACTTAGTTTTATTCTTATTAAATCTACATATTTATATTTTTACTTTTTATTTTTTATATATTTACATTTTGATTTGGGTAATCTTCTTTTTTTATGTCATCAAAATTATTTTTTTGATTATATTATATCATCGAATTCATTTCAATATTTTATTTTTCATTAATATATTCTAAATCTTAATTTTACTAATTTATGATGTCATCGTTTTAATTTTCTATATTTATTTTTTTTGTATCTATATTCTCTGTTTTTATGTTTTATGTGTTTATTTATTTAGAATTATCATTTTTAAATTAATTACAGCATGTTTAACCCATTTTAGGCCTATTTTTTTTTGTGTATTTATTGTTTTAATTATATATTATTACTCATATAATAAATAATATTTCATATGAAAATTTATATTTTAAAAATTATTTTTATTAAATTATAAAAAAATTAATTTAAAATTCTAAAATCTCCATAAAAATTAAATTCTTTTATTTAATAAAAATTATTTAGATTTATAGATAAAAAAATAAGTAAAAAATAAATAAAAAATTATATTTAACAAATCATCAACAATGTTTATCAATTAATTAAGCATAAATACTATTTCTATCAATATTTATAATTTCCTATAATTCTTATTTTTTTTCTCTTTAACATTCTTTTTCTTATCTTGCCCTAAGTACTAATTTTGTTCCCGGTTCTATCATTTCATGATCATAATCATCATTAAATTAATATTTTTATAATCTTAGCATAATCAATATTTTTCCATAAAAATCAAAATAATAAAAAAAAAAGAACATAATAATAAGACAAGGGTATACGTTTTTGAATTTTTCACCTAAAACAGGTACCTAAGTTAATTTCTCCTAGTACTGTATTAAATGCACAATCTTTAACACTAATCATTTCTAAATAATTAAAACAAACTGGACAAGCGATTCTTGAAAAGTTTTAACATGTAAAAAGTAGACTTGGGGCATCCGTCTAATGGTTGCTATAAAGGCCATATATTCCGCTGATTTTGAGTCTAAAATAACCATAATAAGCATTAAATATCATATAAAGTAAAGGAATTAGAGTTATAATCTAAATCTTTAAAACATCATAATTATATTTATTTAAAAAATCCTTTACAATATTACCAAGTATGGAAATTTCCTTAAATGAATAAAGACTGGCTTCTGAAATTAGCAAAACAAAACTCATAATCGTTAATAAAATAGCCCAAATATATTTAAAAATAGGCCTTACTTAACAATTCCAATACCATTCAATTTTACTTATAAGTTAAGCATTTTTTCCTATTTTAGGATCTCTAAGGCTTGACTCAATAACTTTATTTGGATTTTTTTCATTTGCAATAACATCTTAAAGCCAAAATGAAGATTTTAAATGGCTTTTCCATTTATTTTTTGATCTTTTAACTTCTTTCAAGTTTCTTTTTATTTTTGTTCTAAGAATTGCTACACTATCAAGTGAATAGTTAATTTTGTATAAATTTTCGTTTGTTTTTTCTATTTCTTTTATATTTTATTATAATTCTACTAATATATCTTTTGGTAATAAATTTGTTATATTATCGCAATACTCTAGTATTTCTTAAGAATCTGAATCATCTTTTTAATTCTCTTTTTCAACTTTTTTTATTAGAAGAACCTGCTTTGAATGATTTAATAATTTTTCTACTGATTCATTTTATTCATTTTTTATCATTTCTGCTTTAAAATATAAATAAGCCATTTAAAGTTTTAGTTATGCAGTTCTCCAATGCGCTCTTGGTACTTATACTAAAGAATATCCAAAAAGTAGCATAATTTCAAATAATCCCCAGCAATTTGCCATACTTCTGAGAAATTAAACAAGTCCATATTATCTCATTAAACCACAATAACGTAAGATAGAAATTAAAATTACTGCAACTATGCCTATAACTATATAAAACTTTAAATTTTCTATTATTGAATATTTTAGCTTTCTCCACCATTTCAAATAACCGGATTCTTAGTAACATTATATTAATGGAATCAATAGCCAACATAAAAATGTAACAGCCCAATAATAATAAATATATATATGCTATAATTTTATAAATGCATAATCTTCATGTCTTTATATATTATTAATTTCCATTCTGATTTTTATATATATGTCTAATGGTAATAATAGTATCATGCCGAATATTATAAATAAATCAATAAATACTACTATCTTTACTATTAATGTAACTTCTTCATTACTATAATACCATATGAACCATATGATAAATACAGATAAAAATATAAATTCTAATAATGTTATTATATACATTTATATAAAAATATTATTTTATTTATCTTTTCTGTTTGTTTTTGTTTTTTATTTTACTTTTATTTTATGCCTTTATTTACTATATTTTATTTTATTTATTTAAATTGTAATTAAAAAAATATAAAATAAAGGTATATTATTATTTTTAAATATTTTTATATAATATTTATTTTTAATTTAATAATAAAATTTATGATAAATAATAATTATTATTGTTATTATTATTCTATTTTTATAATAGAATATAACAATATTAAAATTTGATATAAATTCTATTTCTAAGATTTATTATATTGTCTTCTCTTGGAAATTTTGATATAAATAATTTTTGTTATCTTAAATTTTAATATAATAAATATTATTAAAAAATATTAAAAAGCATATTTATATATTATATGTAACATATAAAAATTAATTAATAAAAATAATACAAACTTAATAATTTTATTTTTATCAGAATGAAAAATTAAATTTTTATTTTCAATATAAAAATTATTAAATACCTTTAATATTTGAAATCATTAATAAAGTTTCTTATTTTTTTAAAAAATAAAATAATTTTTAAATATATATAACTAAATATTTATTTTGAAAATTTGGTTAAGTTGAAACTTAATTAAATAAGACTTGTCATAATTTTTTAAAATAATAAAAATTATAGATATAAATAAATAGAAATTTTTAATATTATTTTCATATATAAAATTTATCTATATTAATATATTTTAGTAAAATATTAGTGTTATATTACTTTAAATAAAATTTTAATCTTATTTAAAAAAAAAAAAAAAAATTATAAATATAAATATAAATATAAATATATAAAAAAATTTAGCTAATGATTTTTTATTATTAAAATAATAAGAAAGATATCTAAAATATTAAAATAAGTTATAGCAATATATTTACATTTACAATGAATGTATAAATAAGTTTGAATAACTAAAGTTCAAGTAATGTTACTAATTATTATAAACAATTGAATAAAATCCTGAAGAAATATTTTTTTTAAATATTCAAAAAGAAAAGAAATTACTAATAAACTACTATATAATACTAATGAAAACATTATATAAATTAAACCATATTTCCGATTGTATAAAATATCAAATAAACTATTTAAACTATTTCCTGAAGTAGTAACAAAAGGTGAATATATATTGTATTAAAAATTGAGTAAATTAAGCTTTTGTAGAAATACAAAGCCTATACAATATATTGAAAAACTTAATTTTGAAAATCAGTACATTTAAAGTTTGATGGAATAATTAAATAATTTCTTAAAAGGTAATAGTATAAATGCAATAGGAAACCTTAACTAAATTCTTAATGTTATTCCATTACATTATAAACTAGAAGCTCAATATATTTTAGCATATTGCTTTTTTGATTTAGATAGTTATATTCTTTGTTAAAAGTATTTATAATAAAATGTTGAACTTTATGAAAATGATTATAAAATCAAACTATGTAAAATTTCAAATGAATTAAATAAATCTTACAATATAAACTATATGAAAATTACTTTATAGCTAATTGAAATATTAAAAGACTGCAAGGAATAAAAATATGATTAATTTATTGTTGAATATATTAATAATATTTTTAAGTTCAAAAAGGCTGATAATATTATTTAGCACATTGACTAAGATTTTTTTTTTTAATTAGTTTTAACTATTGTTCTTTACAAACCTTAATATATTGAAAAAGACTTAATTAAACTTAGCAAATTCATTTAAAGCAAAAACAATAAATATCATATTATTAATGAATTTTATCTATTTAATTTATAATTTATTATTTATAAAAAATTCCTTTAGTAAGATATTTAATATTAAAAAAAGATTTAGCATTGGGATTTATATTTATGAATATGAGTATAAATACGAAAAAAAAAAAATTAATTATTTATATATAAAATATAAGAAAGTTATTTAAGTCTTTAAACTTTAAATTTTAAAATTTACCTCTCTGTTAATTTATTTGTTTGTTTTATAATATTTTTAAATTTTATAAATTGTTTATGTTATATTTAGTTATATTTATTGGAAAATTTTAAACTATAATTAAATTTAGTCCAAATTTTAAATTATTATTCTTAACTTAAAATTAATTAAAACAAATTATATATTAAAACAATATAACTTAAAAATATTTTATTATTTAAAATAATAAGTTCAAAAAATAAACTTTTTATCTAAATTTATTGTTAATTAAAATTAAATTACATTTCATATTTTAGTTAAGAATTCAGATTTATACAATATTATTATTTTCATTTGAGTATTTTTTATAATAATAAGCGATAATTAAATAAGGATAAAGCATTAAAATCCATCCTAAAATAATATCCCAAAATGGATACTCACTTCCTCTTTTTATTTATAAATAAATGGCTAAAACAGCCAAAATACTCATAGAAAAAGTCACAACATATTTAAGCAAAAACAAAAATTCTTTCGGAGTTTTTTCTCCAACGTTTTTCAAAATTTTATATTCAACACTACCCCAATCATATATCCAAAAAAAAAAGCCAACTTAGATTCCAACTGCAGCAATAAGATTAACCCCAACTCCATAATTATCAAAAAAACTTAGATAGTAAAATCCACTTTATCTACAATAAATAAAGCCAAGTGAGACAACAAAAAAGCAAATAGCTCCCCTAATACCTCTTGGAGTTACTTTTTAAGTAATTTTATCTTTCTTTTAGTAAATTATTTCTTCCATAACGACATTTGAAATACAATCCAAAAACGTAAATAATGTATCAATACCTATAATTATTAAAATAAAGAAAAAAACTATTGCAAAAAAATTAGAAAAAGGCATATATGTTAATGCAGTAGGGAAAATTACAAAGGCTAATTCTGGTCCATTCAAAGGGATTTCACTAATAGAAATATTTGCAATTTTACTAATATAACCCATAAAACAAAACACAACTAATGAGGCGAGAAATCCACATAATATCGTTAATGAAGGGATTATTATGGAAACTTATTTTATTTTTTATGTTTAAGGACGAAAACTTCCTTAAAATATTAAAGCAGCACATCCAAATCCTAATTAAAAAATGACTTAATTAGCTGCATCTACCCATACTTGTATTTTAAATAATTTAGAATAATCAGGATTAAATAAATATTTTATGCCTAATTAAGATCCATCTAAAAATAGTCCTCTTATTAATAAAATCATTAATAATACAAAAGGAGATGAAGTTGTTATGATTGCGATTTTTCCAGAAAGTTATACACCTTTCTATATACATAAGAATACTAGAATTTAAGAAAATACATAACATAAAAATAAATACCAAACCATATTTCCGAATTCATTTATATTATTAGATGCATTTAATACTTCTTTATAAAAATAATCCTTTTTTGTTTATTTTTATATATTAATTTATTTTTTATTAAATACTTTATTCCATGGTTATTATGATATATTAATATTATCAATTTTCCAAGGTAATGGTAATTAAAAACTTTCCCATAAAAAATATATTAAATAAGCTAATATTAAATTGTAATATGTAGACATTGTTAATGCATTTATAACTGGTAAAAAGCCTAATCCTTTCCATTTTTTATGTATCTTGTTTTTTTTTTTCATTTTTTTTTTCGTTTTTTTTTTTTTTACTTATTAATATATTTAAGGAGGAGTTTTTAAATAAGTCTAACCCATGGCAGTTTCAAAATAAAATGAAGGAATTCCGATAGTTATAAATATTATTATGTAAGGAATGAAAAATACACCGCCCCCGTTTTTAAATATTAAGTATGGAAAACGCCAAATACTTCCTAATCCTGTTAGATATCTTAATACACTTAATATATATTCTTTTTTATTTAAATATTTTTCCCTTTCTTCGGTTTCTGTTAAAGATTATT